TAACAGGCTACGATTGCAGGTTGGACGGACGAATGTAATGATGGATTTAGGATGCACTAGTGGGGAGAAAAACGAATTAATCCATCACTAGGTTACTTAAGCACACTACTCTGCTATCACTGCTCATTTATGCTTCTGTAACAGATAAAACTTATGGAATAGATGATGGAACCGGTGAATAGTCTATTTACAGGCTCAATATCCAGAATAGCAGGTTAGTCTAAATGAATGATACCCTAAAATATGAATCTAAGTATTGCCTAATTTAGCCAGGAAATTAGTTGGAATTATCTTAATGCAAAGTAAGAAATAGAAACAAGCAGTCAAAAAAACCCACTGTGGGTATCAGAATTAAGTGAGCGCTTCCTCGTAAGAGATACTCCAGCAGCACAGATAGTGGCTGTGAGTGGAGCAGCGAGTTTGACACCGGATTGATCGCAAGTAGAAGAGAAATCGCTCTGAGAAGCGATGCTGCCAACCCAATGTTCATCACGGGATTTTGACATAAATACGGGCTTTGCTAGCTTAGCCGTCAAGAGATTAGAGCACTCGTGAGAAGTTATGTCAGATATAGCAGCCTTCTTAGTGCAGGCATCCGAGCCGGAGTCAGTGACTTCTTCTGAAGCAGGATGGTTTATAGTCTGTATAGGATGAGCTAGATAATCAGGTATCTGCCGAAATAGTTCGATAGTGTCAAGGTGGGCGGTAGCTTTAAGCTTTCCAATAGAGTGATCAAGGCCGTTATCTAGAAGAGGCAAGAGAAAATAGATCAAAGCAAAAAAGAATAAATAAATTGAAAGACCGTAGATATGAATACCAAAATGATATGGCCTATTTGGTCTTAGTCTCCTTTAGCTTTATATTATTGGTTTAACCTGATTTTCGCAACTTAGTCGGAGTTTTAGGGAGATTTTATGGAACATACCCAGTCCTGAATCCTTTGCGAATATTCGTGATTTCCAGAATCGGACCATTGGCTTGGTACAGTCAAAGACGTTTCGCCGACACCGTCAGTAAGAGGCGTCATCGTTAGTACAGTTACAACCTGTCCTAGTGGCAAGTGAAGGCAATCCCCCTTACCAATTTACTGTTCAATCGTTGTAGCATCACTCCTCGCTCATAGCCTTTGTCTTACCTTCTAGTGCTGCATCTTTCCCTAAACCTTACTTCATATAGCCAATTTACCTATTCACAACATTCTGTGCTCGCGGTTCCTCCTATGATTGGACGGCAACTACGATGCTAACGAAATTTATTAAAAGTTAATGGTCCGAGTTC